TTACCTACTTACCTTTTAAGAACTAAATTGTGGGGCCAGGTGCCGTGGATCATGCCTGTAATCCCAGCACTTTAGGGGACCTGAAGATCACCTGAGGTCAGGAGTTCGAGACCAGCCTGACCAACATGGAGAAATCTCATTTCTACTAAAAAATGCAAAATTAGCTGGGCATGGTGGCACATCCCTATAATCCCAGCTACTCGGGACGCTGAGGCAGAAGAATCACTTGAACTCGGGAGGTGGAGGTTGTGGTGAGCCGAGATCACGGCATTGCACTGCAGCCTGGGCAACAAGAGCGAAACTCCATCTCAAAAAACAAACAAACAAACAAAAACTAAATTGCTCAGAGATGAGAAAATGAACTTCCATTTTTGCTCTATGTATCTTTAAATTTTCAGAGATGCTTATTTTATTTCCTCCTTTGCTTTATCTAATTGACATGATTCTGTCCCTCTAAATACAACTATTGCTTACTCAACCAAGATGTCTTGCTGATAAAGGGCACCACTTAAATAGCATGGGCATTACTGGAACTTTGTCGAAAATTTTAATTCTTCATATCTTCTTTCAGTAGTTTCCCTTATCAATTTCCAAACTAACCTTAATCTATAGTGGGAGTGGGTTGCAGGAGAAGGGTAAAGAAATTTAAGGTTGTCTCATCGCATTTTTCATGAGAGACAGAAAAATTAGAACATGATTTATATACGTTAACATACATCTCCAGGCATATTTTTCCTGGATATCTGAGTTAAATGTGCTATACTTCCATTAAGACTAAGCAGTGATTATTTATATCCATATTTAGTACCTTAATTTTTCTGTACTGGTCATTCAAAAAATTAAACTCAGCCTTTTCAAGGAAAACTCTTAATTTTAAGAATAATAAATTTTCAAGTGGTAAATGTGATGGTTGAAATCAAAATATGGAGATTGAGTTTACTTAGACATGCACATTCACATCTTGGTAGAAGCAGAGATTAGGTCATTATACAGTAGTTGAACACTGAATTAAAGACATACTAGAATATATTATCAAATTTAAACTCTGTTTTGTTCACTGATGTACTTTCATTGTCTAGAACTGTGCTTGACATAATAAATATGCTTAATAAGTATTTGTTGAATAAGTGGCTAAACCTCCATGAATTTATTTCATCTCAAACTCTTTACTAATTAGAGGGTGAATATTCCTTCTAGGTTGGCAATATATATTCACTTAAGCTTCAGAAATGATTTTTTTCTCAGTATTTCTACCCCATTTTCAAAACAACTGAATGAATTTCCAGTTATGAAACACATTTTAAAATGTTTTATATGATGATAATATTAAAGATAGATTTGAACAGATTTAGAAAGGATTGGGAGAGGGTGACATCTTGGTACTAGATCGCTTTCTTAATTCTTTCTGTTGTGTAGAGATATTGCAACATGCATGCACTGCTTTTAATTTTTTTAATTTTAATTTTTATTTTTTATTGCATTTTAGATTTTGGGGTACATGTGAAGAACATGCAAGATTGTTGCATAGGTACACACATGGCAGCGTGATTTGCTGCCTTCCTCCCCTTTACCTATATCTGGCATTTCTCCCCATGCTATCTCTTCCCAACTCCCTACCCCCCACTGTTTCTCCCCTATTTCCCCCCAACAGACCCCAGTGTGTGTTGCTTCCCTCCCTGTGTCCAAGTATTCTCATTGTTCAACACCCACCTCATTGTTTCAAACCACTGCTTTTATTTCTTTATTTTGTTTTTCTTTTTTTGGGGGGGAGGGTTATCCCAGGAATGCAAGGTTGTTTTATTTTTTTATTTTAACTTTTATTCTGAGTTCAGTGGTACATGTGCAGATTTATATAAGTAAACTTGTGTCATGGGGGTTTGTTATACAGATTTCATCACCCAAGTATTAATCCTAGTACCCATTAGTTACCTTTCCTGATACTCTCCCTCCTCCCATCTTCCAACTTCCAATAGGCCCCAGTGTGTGTTCTTCCCTTGTATATGTCCATGAGTTCTCATCCTTTAGCTTGCACTTATAAGAGAGAATATCCTGCAATATTTTAAAAAACTGTCTATAGTATTCTTCTGCCGGTTGTACTAATGTATAATACTAAGGGTAAGATAAGGATAAAGTTATAGTTTTAATTCCAATTGTCACTGCCCCATTTTTATTTCTGCTTATGTGTGCATGATATTTATAAAATCACTTAACATCCAAAACTTCTTAGATATACTAGATTCACAGCATATAGAACACATATATGTGTGCCTATTAGCTGGTAGTATCAATGGGGTATTTTTAATCTTACATACATAACAGAGCATAAAACCAATAATTCACAAGACTGAATTTTGAGCAAGTTTCTATATTATGTAATGCCAATGCACATCATTGTACAAATGTTACTAAAAATACTATACGACAGGCAACAGTCTTTCTGTGTTGTTTACTAGGATAAAGAATGTCTTCAGCTCTAGCATTACTTGCTATCATAACATATTTTATATATGATACCAACTGCTCAACACAGGAAAGTGGTTGGGTTCATAATATATATTTTTTAAGTTTTGTGATAAAAAACGTATCAGATGAGATGTTTAAGGTCTACTCATAACCTAAACCATCTCAATTGTTGAAACAAATGCATTAATCTGATTATTGACTGTAAATAGGAAGATTTCTTTTTTTCCCATTTTGTATCTTCCAACATTGGCATAGGCACATTTTTATTTATTTATTTATTTTTGAGATGGAGTCTGACTGTCATCAGGCTGGAGTGAAATGGCATAATCTCAGCTCACTGCAACCTCTGCCTCTTGGATTCAAGTGATTCTCCTGCCTCAGCCTCCCAAGTAGCTGGGACTACAAGCTCACACCAGCATGCCCAGCTAATTTTTTTTATTTTTAGTAGAGACTCGATTTCACCATGTTGGCTAGTATGGTCTTGATCTCTGGACCTCGTGATCTGCCCGCCTCTGCCTCCCAATGTGCTGGGATTACAGGCGTGAGCCACTCTGCCAGGCAGCATATGCATATTTTTAAAAATGCAGATGTGCAGCTATGCAATGAGATGGTTATTTCATATAACATGTTGTTTGGCATAATCAGAGCACAATATCCATAACAAAGTTATTTATATTCTTTAGTCCTCTGGTTTTTAGAATGATTACTAAAACTTGTTGATGTTATCTATTACCAATAAATATTGAGAAATTCCTTAATTGGATACCTATGTGCATTAATACATTTCTGGAATGGAATTTTAAATAACCATTTGGCCACGGAGTTTTTAAAACTGCTAAATGCCTTAATAGCTGCATTAAACCTCATTTAATTATAAAAGTACAATATTGCCGGGTGTGGTGGCTCATGCCTGTAATCACAGCACTTTGGGAGGCTGAGATGGGTGGGTCATGAGGTCAGGGATTCGAGACCAGCCTGACCAACATGGCGAAACCCCATCTCTAATTTAATAAATACAAAAATTAGCCAGGCATGATGACACGCACCTGTAATCCCAGCTACTTGGGAGGCTGAGGGAGGAGAATTGCTTGAACTGGTTGGCGTAGGTTGCGGTGAGCCAAGAGCGTGCCATTGCACTCCAGCCTGGGTGAGAGAGCAAGACTCCATCTCAAAAAAAGAAANTAGCTCAGTGTGATACACATTTAATTCTGTTTATATATCATCTACAAATAATATCCAGAAGCAGCACATTAGAATGTTTAATTATGCTAGAGATAAAAAGATACTTAATATATAAACTTGAGAATATATTTAAAAAATCAGGGTAAGAATTGAGAATTAGGAAAGGAAACCGAAGAAAAATTTTGCAGATTTTGAGGAAATCAAAATTTCTCATTGAATTTTATCAGAAGAGTTCAAGAACTGAAATAATTGTAAAGCTTTCAGTGAGTGAAAAATAATAATGGGGAGAAGTCAAGAAAGATTGATTTTTTGACTCACTTTCAACTCATACTGTTTTTAAATGCCTTTCTTATTTTCAAGTCCTAATCAAGCTGTTCCTTGAAGCTGTGTAATTCCTGTTAGTCTGTAGATGTGAAACCCATTTTTATGTGAACTACCTTCTGCATTCTATAAACATAAGTTTTCACGGTTGGGGTGTCTTCTAGTCTAACTCTCGAAGTGAATGTTTGGATGTCATCTACCAAATCTATATAACTAAAGTAAATACATTAGATCTAATGTGGTGGTCCAGCACCTCCAAAAATATGGAGCACACTCCTGAAATATCCTGTAACCTTTTATGTTTCAGAATCTTTTAATGAGCAGTTATGTTAATCTGAAAGTCGCTTACCTGTACTTTATGTTAATAGCTATTCTTGTTTTACTCATCCACAGAAAAAACCTCTAATCCCTATGATATTTGTTCCCATGTTTAGGCATTTGTCACATCAACTCCTCTCCTCTCCCAAAGCACTTCTCTTTTTCAAATCAAACTTTCTTAGTCCCTCCTTTATGATTCTTTGTCTGTTTTTGTCCAGATCAATTTTTTTTCACTTTGATGTCCAGAACTGAAGAAATGGACTATTGTATAAAAATAATCATTGCCAATAGAATAATTGTATTTGAAACCCATATTATAACAAAGAATAACGATACTATTTTGTGATTTGTAAGAAATACCCATTTATATTTCCTTTCCTATTGAATTAAATAGTTTTAATTATTTGTATTAAACCTTTAACTATCTTGGCATATTAATGCATTATCTTTTTATATTTTATCAATGGTGGGCACTTTTATAGGTACTCTCTCATTTTTATACTGTAGGTGTCTTATTTATCTTTATTCCTAATGTACAAATTCATATTTGATTCAAACAAATTTATCACTAATTAACAGTGTCAATTATGCTAACATCTCATTTAGTGATTTTGATTTAAAATAGCTTTAGTTAACATGCATGTTTATGGTTGACATCTTAATAATTTCTTCTTCCTCTTCTCTCTCTCTCTTCTCTCTCCTCTTCTCTTTGTCAGTTCTCTGTGGGTAAACACAAAGAACTGTTAAGGTGTGCCTGTTATGGACTTGTTGTCCGGGACGTATATATTTGCGGTCCTGCTAGCATGCGTCGTGTTCCAGTCTGGCGCCCAGGAGAAGAACTACATCATCCGAGAAGAAATGCCAGAAAACGTCCTCATAGGCGACTTGGTGAAAGACCTTAATTTGTCCCTGATTCCAAACAAGTCCTTGAAATCTCCTATGCAGTTCAAGCTAGTCTACAAGACCGGAGAGGTGCCACTGATTCGAATTGAAGAGGGTACTGGTGAGATCTTCACTACTGGCGCTCGCGTTGATCGAGAGAAATTATGTGCTGGTATCTCAACGGATACTCAATGCTTTTATGAAGTGGAGGTTGCCATTTTGCCGGATGAAATATTTAGACTGATTAAGATACGTTTTCTGATAGAAGACATAAATGATAATGCACCATTGTTCCCAGCAACGGTTATCAACATATCAATTCCAGAGAACTCGGCTATAAACTCTAGATATACTCTCCCAGCGGCCATTGATCCTGACGTAGGAATAAACGGAGTTCAAAACTACCATCTAATTAAGGTGCGTTTTAAAATCACTTTGTTAGAGATATTAAGTCATTTCTTAAAGAGTAAAACAAAATGATATTAATGTATTTCAAATTTTGAGTAAGCCGTCACTCCAATCTTTCCAAATTTGTGTAATGTAAAGCATAGTGGAGAAAATTCATCAATGCAGTTTTTGTAATTACATGGGGATTATGAATATTCATGGTATGTATATTCATTTTCAAACAGTTGTGTTTCCATTAATCTATAAAGAGATCAGACAAGAAGGTCAGCCCTGCTACTTACAAATCAGTAGTTTGCCCAGCTTCATTCTTTTAATCTGTCTAGTCATGCCTCTGCCAAAAACTTGACATAAGCAAATCATTAAGAATGAATCCACAAATGTGACCGGATCAATTTTTCCTAGTGATTACTTTAGATGCAAAAATTTTATCTTGCCATTTGATATGGTGCCAAATAAATTATATTTGAGAGGTGAATAGAACAATTACTAGCAATTCTGAATATATATATAGATAAATATTTTGATAAATGATAAATGTTTTTCGTGAGGATTTTGAGGCAAGGCAAGGTCTTTAGCATATTCTGAATCATCAAATTTAGATTAAATTTTTGTCAATGTTCTGTTAATGTTAAATGTTTTCATTATTTTGCAATTCTTTGAAAACAGAGGATTCATTTGTTGTAAAGGGTAAGTAAGCCTTTTGACAAAACAGATTCAATCAGTTCATTTGAAAAACCTATTCAGGCTTGATTTTGGTCTTAAGATGGAGAAGGCAGAGAGAAGAATAGATGGAATATTTGGTATTCTTCAAAATATGTGCAGAGGGGCCACATCTATCAAGTTAATAATCAATTCTTTTTAATTACTTATATGATATAAAGAGTAATAGATAACTCAGATTCGGGTATGTAAGATAGTACAATGAACTTGAATGATCTTGGAAAATATATGTTAATAAAAGAACAAATGTGCATGTTTCAGATAGATATGTTCAGGGGATTTTCAAACTTTTATAAATATTCTGCCAGACTGTGATCTACATAATAACTAGTGTTAAAAAATGTGCCCCAAAGCATATAAATAAGATATTCTGCTATATATCATCTGAAGGTTTTGACCTGGAGGCTATATATTATGGGAAAATTGCTCAACTGATGCTGATCTATTGTAAAGATGTACTTGTTTATAAATTCATTCAGAAATGGAAGGCTACAGATCTCTTAAGCAAATTTCAGTGAAATGCAGATATGTTTGGATATATGAAGTGAACACAGAAAGAGAAGGCTTTGGAAAGAAGGGAACCCTTGTATACTGTTGGTGGGAATGTAAATTAGTACAACCACTATGGAGAACAGTTTGGAGGATCCTCAAAAAACTAAAAATTAGATGATTTTTAAATGAGCACTTTGGGTGAATTCCCTGCAATGACATCTTCTTATGTGATGAAATGGAAAAATATTCAGGAATCAGACAGATACGCATCACAGTTTTGTGCTTACCTCTTACCAGATATGCTACTTTCAGATTAATCTTTTTGACCTTTAATTTCTTCAGTCATAATATGAGGATGATAATACTATCACAGGGGCAGAATTGGAAAGAATAAGAACTTAGTATAGAGTAGATATGCCTGCATAGAAGATTTTTGAAGATGCTTTAAAACATTTGACTACTTATAGAAATGTGAGGCTTATCACTTGAAATAATAAATTAAGTAGCAAAGTGGATACTCTCTCTCTAAAGTAACACTCCTCAACATAATTTTCTGCAATGACAGTAGATTTATGATCTGTGATACAATACAGTAGCCGCTAGTCACACATGGCTATAGAGTACTTGAAAGTATTTAGTAGCTAGTGCTTCTAAGGTACTAAATGCTTAATTAATTCAATTTTAATTTTAATAGCCACATGTGGTTAGTGGCTGTCATAATTGCACAGCACAACTGAAACAAATAAGTTTATTTGGAAAATAAAAATTAACAGATAAAATCAAAATAAGACCTTACCAAATTTTAATCCAATATTGGCAATCGGGTCTTTTCACCTGACCATCTTGACAAATGTGTTGTTTTGAAATGTAGTGCTTTTATTCAAGGAAAAATTTTGTCATGTCTCCCTTAGGGCAGCTTAATGAAATTCCAAGAAATTTCTGATTTGTCTTGAAAGCTGCTTAATTAATTCAAATAAAACAAATAAGCCTGCTGGCAAAATTTTAGCTTTGTTAAAACGTGCTTTTCATTTGACATTGTTTGAAAGATTGTCAGCAAATGACAAAAAGGCTCACTACAGGTTCTTAGATGAGTCTTAGAAATAGAAATGCTCTAAAATTTGTTTTAGAATGTGTGATAACCCTAAAGTAAGTATATGATGTGCCTAAAGTACTGGGGCATTTGTATGGCCCGTGGACAAATACTGTTTTGACTGCTTGTTAAAAGTAATGAGAATGAAATACAAAGCATAGCCCCAGGCATGCAGAGGGCCATGACATGGGTGACTTTAACTGAATGCACTTTGACTTGCAGAAAGGTCCTGTCATGAATGTGGCATATTTGCTATGGGAAAGGAGAGTTTTTAAAAAAAAGAGAGAGGGAGAGAAAAAAGCATGTTTTGATTCATCCATAAACTTTAGTAAATTTTACAATGTGAAATAAGTAGGCCAACCATAATGATTTCTTTTAAAAGACCCTTTGTCCTGCAGAATAGGATGAGAATTTAATTAATATTAATTTGCTCTACTTTTGTTTAATAGACAAGAATAGCAAAGTCACAGTTAGTTTATCCTAACTAGGCTAATATAAAATGTATATGAAATGTTCAAATAGCAAAGAAAGAGAAGGGAGAAATATTCTAGGAAAAAATAGGTCAATTTATACATGAAGGGGTCCTACTATTGACTATTTAATATTCATTAGCTGAAATTAAAGGCATTGGCAGAAGAGATTTATTAACGGTTTGAAATGTATATAGTATAAACTTTCATAAGACTTAGAATATTTATTTCTAAAACTAATATATACATATATTGATTTAGCTTACTTTTTTATGAATTTCAGTATACCTTGACACAAACAGGGAAAGTGTTATTTCACATTTAAAATATTTGGGAAATGAGTTTCAGAGTGATAACGTATTATGCTTATCATCATATGACTGGTAAATGATAGCGGTAGGAATCAGAGTGCAGTTCCTGACTCCTAATTAACAGACAGTTTGTAGATGTGTAGATAACCCTAAGAGCAGGATCGCTGCAAGTTCATGATACAAAAGGAAAAGAGTGAAAGACCGAGAAAAGGCCGGGTGTGGTGGTTCACGGCTGTAATCCCAGCATTTAGGGAGGCTGAGGCAGGCGGATCACGAAGTCAGGAGTTTGAGACCAGCCTGGCCAACATAGTGAAACCACATCTCTACTAAATATACAAAAAAAAAAAAAAAAATTGCCAGGTGTGGTGGTGGGCGCCTGTAATCCCAGCTACTCAGGAGGCCGAGGCAGGAGAATGACTTGAATTCAGGAGGCGGAGGTTGCAGTGAGCTGAGATTGTGCCATTGTACTCCAGCCCAGGCAACAGTGCAAGACTCCATCTCAAAAAAAAAAAGGAAAAAGTAGGGGAATGAAGTGATTAAAGTGATTACCAAGTAATTCTGCTTGGTTAAAAAAAAAAGGTAAAATAAAACTTATTTGTGACTTTGATGAGGTTAATTTTCAGTTTTTTAATAGAGCATGTTACTCTCTAAAGAAAAAAATAATCTATGAGTTCTTGATGTTATTAATAGTTGCCACTTAAAAAGGAATCCAGATGTGAAACCTTCTCTTTCCCCTCTTTCATGAAAAGTCATACTACAATGCTAATTTCCTATATACATACAGATATTTACATACTCACACACATCGTACTACACATTGCAGTATTTCAAAGAACTGTTGGTCAGGAGTAGTAAATCACAGAATCTCTTTAACTTTCACTTTTTAATTCAGATAGCCTGTTATTTATAAAGCTTTTTAAAATACTGTAAGTATTTTTTGACAGGGAAGCCAACATTTTCACAAATAGAAACATCCCTCAAGCACCCAGTCTGACTCAGAATATGTATATAAACCACAGGGACTTCCTTCTTTCCTCATGGTAGGAACTCAGGGGAAATTAGTTTATATAATGATGTTATAGATATTTTTATTTCCTGCTTCAAATTTCCATCTTCTCTGGTGTATATCAGCAGTCACGTTTCTGTACTATCCCAGTGACGGGGTTCTGATTGATTTCCTTAAGGCAGGCATGACAGTGTTTCAAAGGTTGACAGTTTGTGTTGACAGAACATGAAGATCAATTTTTTCTCAGATTATTAATCGTACTCAAAGCCCTCACTTGTTTCTACCCATCCCATAAGGCATCATTATGTTTTCAATGAATCTCAAAAGGTCATTTAATCTGGAGTAGTCTTTTAACGTAGCCAAGATGTTTGGGCCTTTGATTCTATTTTAAGTAAAAATCCTCCCCATTGATAAAAAGTTGGACTGGATTTATGAAACTAAGTTTAGAATTAGATTTGTTTTGAGATCTGGGATTAGAAAATCTAAATTGTGAAAAATCTCATCTACCACAAGATTTAGAAATCTTGATTTAAATTGCTGAAATGAGGCATCAAATGATATATTGTGAAGACAAAGAACAAGCAAACTTTGTTGTTCTGAAGAAAATAATATTTTTTAAACTTATGTGTCCATAGCTCAAAGTGACGTGTAATGTCAGAAGTGAGTTAAGATTCACTAACATCAGTGCGGGGAGAATATACCATAACAATGAGTATAACAATTTTAGAAAACTTACCCAGTTTATTTGCCTCCAAGAGGCTCAGAAGAGTTTGAATATAATGATTTCCTCAATTTTTTTCAAATATAAAATGAAGTTGCATTTAAAATTTCCCCATTGCAGCTTTAATATTACTTGATTTTATATTCTCTGAATTCTATAATTTGCATATTAATATTTTTGATCTAGTGTAAAGAAGCAA